AGCCTCACAGCTGGAGCCGAGAACAGAAGACGAGCGGGTAGACCGCGACGAAACAGAGCCGGAACCAAGGCTGAAGGTGTAACCATGTGACGACCGCTGCGTAGCCTGGTCGTCAACCCAAGAAGCGTCTGCCTGACCTATGAGGACCACTGAACGCCGCGCTCCAAGCACAAGCCCCATGCCCGACGTACTGCACAAGTAGCGCAACACCCTCTTCGCTGCAGCCATGTGCTCTGGTCGGTGTCTCCCAGGAGCAACATAGCGTGCCAAGATGCTAAGAGGGTATGCAAGGTCAGGTCGAGTGCAGGTCATCAGGTACATGAGGCAGCCAACAAGCTCTGGGTACGGGCCACTCGGCTCTACGGACTCATCCGAAGGCAGAGCTGAGAGCGAGTGGCGAGTAGACAGAGGAGTGGCCTGAGGCGAGGAGTACGTGAAGTCGAAGCGCTGAAGGACCTGCTGCACCATGTGTGACTGAGTCAGGGTAATGGTGCGCTGTGCTCTGTCCCGGGTGATCTGCAAGCCGAGGTAGCTGCGCAGTTCACCCAAGTCTGTGCACGTGTGTTTCTTCTGCAGCTCGGACTTCATGTGGGCGAGTCCAGCAGTGTCAGCAGTGGCAAAGACCAAGTCGTCGACGTACACGAGGATGTAGAACGGCGGCAAAGAGGTGTCGGTACGCAGAAACAGCGACGGGTCGGCTGTAGAAGGAGCAAACCCAAGAGCCGCAAGTGTAGTCCTCAGTGTGTCGTGCCACTCACGGGGCGCCTGGCAGAGACCGTAGACTGGCCGCGGGAGGCTCCACTTGGTACCAGGAGGAAACGACCCAGTGAAGCCAGGTGGGCGGCGGAGCCAGATCTCCTCGTGCAGGCTGCCCTGCAGGAAAGCTGTGCTGAAGTCAAGAGAGTGAAGCTCATAGTCGCACTGAGTGGCTATGTGCAGCAGCACCCGAAGAGTGGTCATCTTCGGGGTGGGAGAGAAGGTCTGAAAGCAGTCAACTCCCTGCCGCTGACTGAAGCCTCGAGCCACGAAACGCGCCTTGAAGACAGGCGGAGAACGCGGTGGCCGCTTCACCCTGAAATTCCACATGCCACTGACGATGTTCGCCCCAGGTGGGGGAACCTCGTCGACGTAGGTGCCTGTGGACTTCCAGGAAGCCATCTTTGCGTCCATGGCTGACTGCCACTGTGAGGAGTAGGGACCCTCTATCGCCTCAGCGTACGATCGAGGAGTCGGGATGTCTGGTGCATCCGGGTCTCCCTCAGGGGCAATCACCATGGACACGAGATGAGGCAAAGCATCAGCAAAACACTGGAACTCCTCCTGCCTGTCCTCAAGGACGTCCGTGCTAAGAGCACACTCACCCCCGACGGACGGAGGACAGACAGACGCAGACTCAGCAACAAGACTAGAGGCATAGTCTAGAGGACAGTAAGCAGCGAAGTCGACAAGCTCAGCAACTAAGGCAGACGCAGCAGTGGACTCAAAGGAAGGGTCAGTGACGACAGTAGCAAGGAGACGCGTGACAGTAGGAATGGCAGCACGAAGGGAGTCCGACTCCGGGTCAGCAAGAGCAGGAAGAGAGGACTCGGGAGGAGAAGGCAAAGGGGCACGCAGTGGAGCAGTGGAAGGACGCACAGACATCCAGTGCGTGCCGAGGACAGGCGGAGGACGCTGACTGCGAACCGTGATCACTCGTGCGAGCAGCACAGACAGGCAACGCAGGATGAGACGCGGGCTCACGACGCTCCGTAAGACCTCCAGTAGGACCAATGTAGGGAGAGGGAGCAGGCAGTGGGGAGGCTGGCTGTAACTGTGACTCGGACTGGACAGGCGGCAGACACTCTAAGAGAGGAGCAGGACCAAGAGAGGACGGGAGACCAAGAACCTGCTCAAGGAGCGAAACGGATTATGGCCGCGGCCATGCAGTGCCCCTAGAACCAGCAGGAACAGCACCAGTACCCCCAACGGCAGCACCAGCGCGAGTAGCACCCCCAGCTCCAGCAGCGCCAACTCAAGCACCCTCAGAAATAGGAGCGCCAGCAGCACCTCCAGCGCCACTCGGACCACCAGAAGACGGAGCAGCTCTAGCTCCAGCACCTCCAGTAGCACCTACTCCAGCAGCACCACTAGCTCCAGCACCAGAAGCACCCGCAGGCCCAGCAGCTCCAGTACCCCCGGTACGAGCACCTCCGGGACCCGTGGCACCAGCACCCTCAGCAGCAGTAGAACCGTCAACACCAGAAGTACCTCCAGCTCCTAGCAGCACGGCTCTAGCGTCGAGCAAACCACTTGCGCAGCTCCTGTGGAGAGAGCAGCTCGCTCCGGGATGAAGCACCCGAAGGACCTCCAGGCCCAGTACCGCCAGACGCCACACGAGCAGGCCCAGCACCCTCAGGCTCCGCACCCCCAGGCTCCGCACCCCCAGTCTCAGCACCCCAAGTCTCAGCACTCCCAGGCTCAGCACCCCCAGAGTCAGCACCCCCAAGCTCGGCACCCCCAGAGTCAGCACCCCCAAGCTCGGCACCCGCAGTCTCCGCACCCCCAGGCTCTGCACCCCCAGACCCTGCACCCGCAGGCTCAGCACCCCGAGACCCCGCACACGCAGGCTCAGCACCCCCAAACCCCGCACCCGCAGGCTCAGCACCCCCAGACCCCGCACCCGCAGGCTCAGCACCACTAGCAGGACCAGAGTCAACAGCTACCTCGACAGGCTCGACTGCATCTACCTGGGACACACCTGAGGGGGCAGGACCCTGAGGGGGAAGGGGGTCTACCGGGGGGGGACCTGGCGCGTGGAAGAGTGGCGACGGGGGGAGGGAGGCAATGCGGTAGGGGAAGAGACGGTAGTACGGAATCGACTCGTCAAACGTGACGTCCTGGGAGGACAGAACACGTCGCGAGGAGGGGTGGTAGAACTGCCAGCCTGGCGCGTTAGGGGGGAAGCCAAGGAAGACAAAGGGAACAGCACGGGGGGACAGCTTGTCCGCAGACAAGTCGCGGACAAACGCCCGAGATCCCCAGACACGGAACGCAGACGCATCGCCAACCTTCCCGGTCCACCGTAAAGCAGGGGAGGTCTCCGGCATGGAGACCCGGGGCTGAAGGTTGATCTGATGCGCCGCGTACCGAACCGCAAACGGCCACAGAAAATGGGGGGCAGCATGCACGTACGAGCGACGTCCATGACCATGCCAATGCGGCGCTCAGCAATCCCATTTTGCTGTGGAGAGGCCGGAAGCGTGAACGTCTGGCGGATGCCCTGTGCACGACAGAAGGCTCGCAGAAGGTCAGAGGAAAACTCTCCGCCTCTGTCGGAGTGCAGACCCAGAACAGGAAAGTCCGAGCCGAAACTCTCTCTGAGCTGGAGACGAGCAGCGCGGATCCAGCCGATCAACACCTCAGTGACCTCAAACTTGCTGAGGAAGGGGAAGACTGTGGTGTAACGCGAGTAGTCCTCAGCCACCAGCAAGAAGTAACGCTCGTGACCCTGTCCACGGACGCGGGCTGGGCCCCACACGTCCATGTGAAGCGTCTGCAGCGGAGCCTCTGTTGGAGGAAACTCGGAGGAGTGAGGAGCAGCACGCTGCCTCCCCTCGACGCAGGGAATGCAGGTAGGGGCAGGCCCTGGAGGAAGAGGAGGGAGGGACCGGGGGAGACCAGAGACAAGGACACGGGAGGCCATGCCTCGAAGACGAGGCAGCGAGGGGTGACCAAGGCGGTGGTGCCAAAGGAGAGTCTGGTGAGACAGGAGACGACACAAGTAGGGGGCAGACGCAGGACCAGACCTGGACGCCGTAGCAGTCACCTGACCCGATGCAGCTACCTGACCAAACGCAGAGACCGGAGGAGACTCAGTAGTCAGTGTGTATAGGCTCGACCCCGGTCGATGGGTAAACGTGGCCAAGTGTCGGCCCGTCCGAGCACACGTGCAGTGGGTCACTCGCTGACTCGCAGGAGTGAACTGGTCAACCCCCCCATCCTGTAGGTCAGCACCACTCACCAAGTTTGTAGAGAACGAGGGGAGGTAGAGACCTGACAGGGTGCTAGAAGGTGACGCCGGACACGGTAAGACAGTGGAGAAGTGGGCAAGGACAGGACCCCCAGAGGGGTCTGCCAGGGAGACCGCAAGTGGCCGACTAAGCGGCGTGAGTGTGGTGCGGTCTCGAAAGAAGGAACAGGAAGCACCCGAGTCAAGGGTGAAGGTGTGGGAGGCCTGAGCCGACCTGGTACCTGAGAGAGCAGACTCACCAGCACCTGGGGCAGCAGACTCACTAGCACCTAGAGCAGCAGCCTCACCAGCACCTAGAGCAGCAGCCTCACCAGCACCTAGAGCAGCAGTCTCAATGCCCGGGTCAGGCGGAACACACAGGTAACAGTCACCCTCATCACTAGTAGGCAATGCATATATGGTAGTGAGGATAGCATCATAGTCAAGAGTATAGATATCTACCCTCAGCCTAAGCAGCTCCACCCAGTCGGGGAGCTCAGCCGCGTCGCCAAAGGTACTCTGTACGCAAGGCGTCGCTTAGACGGGCGAAGCAGAGGTACTCTGCGTGACCAAACGTCCCGCAAGGCTGACCAGTCCGAGCACCAGTGTGAATGACGTACGGACAGCGAGAAGTACTGCGTGACCCGTCACGCTGAGCGTACCACTCACGAAGCTGCTAGGGCAAAAGGACCGCGCACGGACAACGCTGCAGCTACACCTGGCCACTACAAGCAGCTGCCGAACTACTCACTCCAGGACGACTCCCACTACAGCCACCCCGACAACCCCAAGTAGCGTACCACTCACGAAGCTGCTGGGGCGTGAGGGACTCACGCGGATGTCGCTGGAGCTGCATCTGGCCACCGCCAGGAGCAGCAGGAGCAGTGGTAGCCGCAGTAGCAGCAGCAGTAGCAATAGCAGTAGTCGCAGCGCGGCCACCCTTACAACCCCAACTAGCGTACCACTCACGACGCTGTTGGGGGGCGAGGGACTCACGCGGACGGCGCTGGAGCTACGTCTGGCCACGCCAGGAGCAGAAGTAGCAGTAGAAAGAGCAGTAGCAACAAGAGCAGCAGTAACACCAGTACGGGCAAGAAGGGCAGGTGTACGACGGCGGCAATGGCGAGGCCGCGACCACTGTAGGGCGAGGGCTCCGCGACAGCTGAAGGGGCGGCTGCTCCAGGGGCGGTTGCTGCAGGGGCGGCTGCTGTAGGGGCTGCTGCTCCAGGGGCGGCTGCTGCAAGGGCGGCTGCTGCAGTGGCGGCTGCTCCAGGGGCGGCTGCTGCAGGGGCGGCTGCTGCAGGGGCGGCTGCTGCAGGGGCAGCTGCTGCAGGGGTGGCTGCTCCAGGGGCGGCTGCTGCAGTGGCGGCTGCTGCAGGGGCGGCTGCTCCAGGGACGGCTGCTGCAGTGGCGACTGCTCCAGGGGCGGCTGCTGCAGGGGCGGCTGCTGTAGGGGCTGCTGCTCCAGGGGCGGCTGCTCCAGGGGCGGCTGCTGCAGTGGTGGCTGCTCCAGGGGCGGCTGCTGCAGGGGCGGCTGCTCCAGAGGCGGCTGCTGCAGTGGCGGCTGCTGCAGGGGCGGCTGCTCCAGGGGCGGCTGCTGCAATGGCGGTTGCTGCAAGGGCGACTGCTGAAGGGGCGGCTGCTCCAGGGGCGGCTGCTGCAGGGGTGGCTGCTCCAGGGGCGGCTGCTGTAGTGGCGGCTGCTCCAGGGGCGGCTGCTTCAGGGGCGGCTGCTCCAGGGGCGGCTGCTGCAGGGGCGGCTACTTTAGGGGCGGTTGCTGCAGGGGTGGCTGCTCCAGGGGCGGCTGCTGTAGTGGTGGCTGCTCCAGGGGCGGCTACTGCAGGGGCGGCTGCTCCAGGGGCGGCTGCTGCAGTGGCGGGTGCTCCAGGGCGCGAGTTAGGGCAGGGGGCCGCGGCGGGAAGGGGTGACGCCATGCGGGTCCCGCAGGGGCGTCGCGACGCGCAGGAGCCGCGCCTCGCGGGTCCCGCAGGGGCAACGCGACGAGGTGGGGGCGACGCGCGGGTCCCATTGAGGCGTCGCGACGAGGGAGCGGCAACGGGGCGGGGCCGCGACTGGCGACGGGGCGGGGCCGCGACTGGCGACGGGGCGGGGCCGCGACTGGCGACGGGGCAGGGCCGGTACTGGCGAAGGGGCGGGGCCGCAACTGGCGACAGGGCGGGGCCGCTACGGGCAGCGGGGCGGGGTCGCGAATGGGGCCGCGAAGGGAGCCGCGAGGGGGCCGTGAAGGGGCCGCGAAGGGGCCGCGAAGGGGCCGTGAAGGGGCCGCGAAGGGGCCAAGAAGGGGCCGTAAAGGGGCCGCTAAGGGGCCGTGAAGGGGCCATGAAGGGGCCGCGAAGGTGCCGCTAAGGGGCTGCGAAGTGAGGCCACTAAGGGGCCTCAAAGGGGCCGTAAAGGGGGGGGGGCGCGACGGGCCTCAGGAGAAGGGCAGGCCACTAAGGGGCCGCCAAAGGGTAGGGCAGGTCAGAGCGCGAGGCGCACTTCGGGCAGGTTAGGAAAAAACAAATTTAATGGTGGGCCCTTAGGAAGAAACGGTCCCACTAGGGAACTTGCTCTGATACCATGTGATAAAAACGAGGAAGTGGTTGACTAAGGGAAAGGTTGGGTACAAGTACATGAGAAACTTAGAACGAGAATGAATGACTAAGGAATGAAAGAGATACAAATATGAAACCCTAGAATTGTGTACCCCTTAGTATCTAACCCGTTACAGCCTACACAGGCTAGACCATATAAGTTCGACACACCCCCATAGGCAAAGTGGGGGAGAACAAGGGGTCACAAGACCAGTCAAGCAAAGCAAGGCAAAGCAAGCTCAGGGTGGATCACAACGTCACCACACATTCTGAGCACAAGTTCAAGGCCACAAGGCCATTTCACATGCATGAGTACACACATATATATAATGCTAAACAAGCAAGAGCAGGTATATATATATGTAACAGTTTAAGCAAGGTCAAGAAGTGAGCAAGTGAGGCAAGGTACGTAAAAGACCTAACAGAGTACAGAAGCGCTGATGGTCACAAGGCGCAAGTGCCTTGGTGAAGATATCAGCAGTGTTGGCCTCAGAGGCCACGTAAGCAAGACGCAACTGACCGCGCTGCTGCAGCTCACGAGCAAGAAAGTAGCGAAGAGCGATGTGCTTCGCTCTGTGCTCCAGTCTGTGCTCCCGACACAAGGCCAGCATAGCCTTGTTGTCTACGTATAGAACTGGAGGAGAACGAGGCGGCTCTCCTAGGTCAGTCAGCAGGTAGGTGAGCCAGCGTAGCTCCTGTGCAGCCATGGCCCCTGCGTAGATCTCAGCCTCACAACTGGAGCCGAGAACAGAAGACGAGCGGGTAGACTGCCACGAAACAGAGCCGGAACCAAGGCTGAAGGTGTAACCCTGTGACGACCGCTGCGTAGCCTGGTCGTCAGCCCAAGAAGCATCTGCGTGACCAGTGAGGACCACTGGAATCCGCCCTCCAAGCACAAGCCCCATGCCCGACGTACTGCACAAGTAGCGCAACACCCTCTTCACTGCAGCCATGTGCTTTGGTCTGTGTCTCCCAGGAGCAACATAGCGTGCCAGAATGCTAAGAGGGTATGCAAGGTCAAGTCGAGTGCAGGTCATCAGGTACATGAGGCAGCCAACAAGCTCTGGGTACGGGCCACTCGACTCTACGGACTCATCCGAAGGCAGAGCTGAGAGCGAGTGGCGAGTAGACAGAGGAGTGGCCTGAGGCGAGGAGTACGTGAAGCCGAAGCGGTGAAGGACCTGCTGCACCATGTGTGACTGAGTCAGGGTAATGGTGCGCTGTGCTCTGTCCCGGGTGATCTGCAAGCCAAGGTAGCTGTGCAGTTCACCCAGGTCAGTGCACGTGTGTCTCTTCTGCAGCTCGGACTTCACGTAGGCGAGTCCAGCAGTGTCAGCAGTGGCAAAGACCAAGTTGTCGACGTACACGAGGATGTAGAACGGCGGCAAAGAAGTGTCGGTGCGCAGAAACAGCGACGGGTCGGCAGTAGAAGGAGCAAAGCCAAGAGCCGCAAGCGTAGTCCTCAGTGTGTCGTGCCACTTACGAGGTGCCTGGCGGAGACCATAGACTGGCCGTCGGAGGCTCCACTGGGTACCAGGAGGAAAAGTCCCAGCGAAGCCAGGTGGGCGGCGCAGCCAGATCTCCTCGTGCAGGCTGCCCTGCAAGAAAGCAGGGCTAAAGTCAAGAGAGTGAAGCTCGTAGTCACGGTGAGCGGCTATGTGCAGCAGTACCCGAAGAGTGGTCATCTTCGGGGTGGGAGAGAAGGTCTGAAAGTAGTCAACTCCCTGCCGCTAACTGAAGCCACGAGCCACGTAGCGCGCCTTGAAGACAGGCGGAGAACCCGGCGGCCGCTTCACCCTGAAAATCCACATGCCACTGACGATGTTTGCCCTAGGAGGGGGAACCTCGTCGACGTAGGTGCCTGTGGACTTCCAAGAAGCCATCTCTGCATCCATGGCTGCCTGCCACTGAGAGGAGTAGGGACCCTATATCGCCTCCGCGTAAGAGCGCGGAGTCGGGATGTCTGGTGCATCCGGGTCTCCCTCAGGGGCAAGTAGCATGGTCACGAGATGAGGTGAAGCAGCAGCAAAGCACTGGAACTCCTCCTGCCTGTCCTCAAGGACGTCCGTGCCAAGGGCACACTCACCGCCGACGGACGGAGGACAGACAGACTCAGACTCAGCGACAAGACTAGCAGCGTAGTCTAGGCGACAGCGAGCAGCGAAGTCGACAAGCTCAGAAACGAAGGCAGACGCAGCAGTGGACTCAAAGGAAGGGTCAGTGACGACAGTAGCAAGGAGACGCGTGACAGTAGGACTGGCAGCACGAAGGGAGTCCGACTCCGGGTCGGCAAGAACAGGAAGGGAGGACTTAGGAGGAGAAGGCAAGGGGGCACGCAGCGGAGCAGTGGACGGACGCAGAGACATCCGGTGCGTGCCGGGGACAGGAGGAGGACGCTGACGCAAACCCCGTCTACTAGTGCGAGCAGCACGGACAGGCGACGCAGGACGAGACGCAGGCTCACGACGCTCGGCAAGACCTCCAGTAGGACCAGTGTAGGGAGAAGGAGCAGGCAGAGGAGAGGTAGGCTGTAACTGTGACTCGGACTGGACACTCGGTGGACACTCTAAGGGATGAGCCGGACTAGCAGAGGGCGGAAGACCAAGAACCTGCTCAAGGAGCGGAACGAAGTACGGCCGCGGCCGCTCAGCATCACCAGCACCAGAAGGGACAGCACCAGCACCCCGAACGACAGCACCAGCGCCAGCATCACCCCCAGCTCCAGCAGCGCCAACTCCAGTACCCTCAGAGGCACCAGCACCAGAGGCACCCTCAGCGGGTCCAGCTCCAGTACCCTCAGTAGTACCGACGCCCGTAGCACCACCAGCTCCAATACGAGAAGCACCCGTAGGCCCAGAAGCTCCAGTACTCCCGGTAGGAGCACCTCCGGGACCCGAGGCAGCAGCACCCTCAGCACCAGCAGAACCTCCAGCACCCGCAGCACCTCCAGGTCTAGCAGCTCGCCTCTAGCGACACGCAAACCACTCACGCAGCTCCTATGGAGAGAGAGTAGGTCCGCCGGGACAAAGCACCCAAAGAACCTCCAGGCCCAGCACCGCCAGAAGCCTCACGCGCAGGTCCAGTAACCTCAGACTCCGCACCCCCAGACGCAGCACCCCCAGGCTCAGCACCCCCAGACGCAGCACCACCAGGCAAAGCACCCACAGGCTCAGCACCCCTAGGCGCAGCACCCCAAGAGTCAGCACCCCCAAGCTCAGCACACCCAGAGTCAGCACCCCCAGACCCAGCACCCGCAGGCTCAGCACCCCTAGCAGCACCAGAGTTAACAGCTACCTCGACAGGGTCGACTGCATCTACCTGAGACACACCTGAGGGGGCAGGACCCGGAGGGGGGAGGGGGTCTACCGGAGGGGGACCTGGCGTAAGGAAGAGCGGCCGGGGGGGGAGGGACGCAGTGCGGTAGGGGAAGAGACGGTAGTAGGGAACCGACTCGTCAAATGTGACGTCCTGGGAGGACAGAACACGGCGCGAGGTGGGGTGGTAGAACTGCCAGGCCGGCGCGTCAGGGGGGAAGCCAAGGAAGACGCAGGGAACAGCACGAGGGGACAGCTTGTTCGCAGACAAGTCGCGGACAAACGCCCGAGATCCCCAGACACGGAACGCAGACGCATCGCCAACCTTCCCCGTCCACAGCAAAGCAGGTGAGGTCTCCGGCATGGAGACCCGGGGATGAAGGTTGATCTGATGCGCCGCGTACCGAACCGCAAACGGCCACAGAAAATGGGGGGCAGCCGCATGGACCATGGTGTACGAGCGACGTCCATGACCATGCCAATGCGGCGCTCAGCAATCCCATTTTGCTGCGGAGAGTCCGGAAGCGTGAAGGAGAAGGTCTGGCGGATGCCTCGTGCACGACAGAAGGCTCGCAGAAGGTCAGAGGAGAACTCTCCGCCTCTGTCAGAGTGCAGACGTAGAACAGGCAAGTCCGAGCCGAAACTCTCTCTGAGCTGGAGACGAGCTGCGCGGATCCAGGCTATCAACACGGCAGTGACCTCACCTCAGTGCTGCGCAAAGGGAAGACTGTGGTGTAACGCGAGTAGTCGTCAAGCACCAGCAGGAAGTAACGCTCGTGACCCTGTCCACGGACGCGGGCTGGGCCCCACACGTCCATGTGAAGCGTCTGCAGCAGAGCCTCTGTCGGAGGAAACTCGGAGGAGTGAGGAGCAGCGCGCTGCCGCCCCTTGACACAGGGAACCCAGGTGGGGGCAGGCCCCGGAGGAAGGAGAGGGAGGGACCGGGGGAGACCAGAGACAAGGACACGGGAGGCCATGCCTCGAAGACAAGGCAGGGAGGGGTGACCAAGGCGGTGGTGCCAGAGG